TTGTTGTGGGGGGGGAGGGGGGGGGGGGGGGGGGGCGAGTAATATTTACGCCCGCCTCCCGTAGATACGCCACTGTGCTAAATTACTATCATAAGGCTATTCTATATGTTGTCCTGTGTAAATTATTGTTGTAAGGTATTGTTGTCTTTATGCATTGTATAAGATTATCGTATTATAACTGATATTTGGACATCTTTTTAACTTAAAGAAATACAAAAACATTTGCCCAAAAATCTAAATAGAGTACCGTAGATAAGCTTCTGTTAGTCCTATAATGTTATTGGGCATTGAAAATATTAAATTTTTACCATAAATGTAAATGTTATTATAAATAAATGGAATTAATGGAAATTGCGGGTAACAAATAATTACAAACGCTAGATGTGTATAAGAGACAGGCGTGTACCTGTTGACATGCTCTCTCACTGGAATTCCTTATGTTTCTTATGATTTCAATGGAAAGTCGAATAAAATAAAATAAAATATAAAATTTATCTTTGGTAGTGGTAAAACTGTATGCTTATGTGTATTGTGCACCAACTCGACTTTAACAAACATAAAAATAACCACAGGATAATGAGAATATGAGTATAATTCAGTTGTATGTTTTATGCTGTGGAAAGACTAAATATGCTTTCCTTCATTGATCATTGGCTGATCTGGAGGGGGTCAGGAAGTTCTGACCCCACCACCAACCTTGGGCAAAAAAAAAAAAAATTAAAATTAAAAAATAATAAATAAAATTAAGAAAATTAAAAATTCTAGACCCCTAATTTTTAGCACCCGTGAGCTGAATTTTTTTTTTGTTACAATGTGAAAAGAAAGAAGTCAGGCTCATTTCCCGCCACCTAGGAATCAACATTTTCCCCGGGGGAGGACCCTTACCCCCCATTCTTTTTGTGATTTATCGATTTCTTGGAGAAAAAAAAAAGAATACGTAGGCTCATATGCAACTACTCAATTTTGTTTCTGTATGTATACCGCTACACACATAATAGGCCTATTTACTGTAATAAGAATGAGAAAGTTTACCTGACCATTTTCAAGAGTGGGAAGCCTTCAATTTTGAAGAACTTAAAAATCATTAAGACACCTAAGAAGTCTGGAAAGCTCATTTCCCGCCATCTACGAATCAAAATTTTCCCGGGGAGGACTCCCGGACACCCCTTCCTTTGGGGTTCATCGATTCATGGGAAAAATACGTATGCAACTACCCATTTTTATTTTCTGTTTGTAGACCTACCGGTACACACATATTATGCCTATTGACTGTAATCATAAAAATGAGAAAAAAACTACGGTACCTGATTGCTTTTAGGAGGTCATAATACCTTGAATTTTGAAGAGCTTAAAAGTCATTAAAAGACACTTAAGGAGTCGGGAAAGCTCATTTCCAGTCATCCAGGAATCAAAATTTTGCCGGGGGAGGACCCCCACCACTTTTCTTTTTGGTGTTTTTGACCCCCCTCCCCCAACGTAAATTTCAATCAGGATCTGCCCCTGAAATTTATTGATGTATATATTTTTTGTACCAATAGAATGTGCCGACTATTTAGAAGACAATATGTGTGATTTGTATTCAGCACTTTGTGAAGATGACAAAGGGGAGTTTGCAAGATCATATTGCCGACAAACGTGTGGAAAATGTAATCCATCCACATAAGTAAGGCCTTTGTGAACACTGTCAAAATTGAATGGAACAATTTAATGTGATATGACATCATCATGCCTATGTATTTGCAAACCACAGAGACTTGTCACATTAAAACATTAACATCATTAACAAAATGTTATGACACCCGACAGTTTGCGCTTTTATTATTTGTGTATTTATTTGTCGAATAGTCAGCGTACTATATAGGCCTACTATGAAATTGCCTTTGACAAAAAAAAAACCCCGTTGTATTATCAAGGAGGTATTTCATACCCAGGGTCGGAGTAAAATTGTTCCCTACAAATTGTACATAACACATAACCTTAGATGTGAAACGTGCCACTTTCAACGACGTGGTGTTTCGGATTTTCATTGCATAGGCCTATGTCAACATGTAAAATTATAGCACAAGGTGAATAAAACATTATTAAATTTATACGTAAAAGAAATAATGTCGGTCTATAGCGCACACAATTAAAACAACCTATAATGTTATTGGGCATTGAAAATATTAAATTTTTACCATAAATGTAAATGTTATTATAAATAAATGGAATTAATGGAAATTGCGGGTAACAAATAATTACAAACGCTTTACGCCGTGGATGAGATGGGTAGACGTCAAAAATATATAAAATCGATAATTCATAAAATAGGCCTAAGCATATGTACTGATATGATTGGGAACAAGGTAGGGAGAGCAATAATAGTCCAGTCCGAAATGTAGCAATATCAGAGGTTGCATTTTTTTTTGCTATATTTTTTAAAAATTGGATATGATGTAGAATAGACATTGATAAATCAAAAAAGTATGTGCAACATTTTTTTTTCATACTTGAGGGGGGTTGCTAGTAGTTTCAAAATGGCCGCCATTTTTTCCTAAAATTGTCACTAATATTGTAAGTTTATGTTATTGAAATGCAGCATTCAATTGGAAATTCACTCATAACAATGACAACAACAGTTAACTAATTATTGTACACATTTTTGAGCTATTAAAATTTCAAATGACTGCCATTTTCCATTATTTTAGCTTTTTAGCATACATATTAATATATTAATAACCGATCTGTACTGTAAAACAAAAACGTGTGATAGAGCTAGTTATACTGTATGCAATTGCCATATGCTGTTAATGGTTATTACCATAATAAATATGTATATATATATATATTGGTGAAAGTGAGGACAATGAAAACAAAAGTCAAGTTGACGTATTTTTGGAACATAATTTATATGTTCCAAAAATACGTCAACTTGACTTTTGTTTTCATTGTCATGACTTTCACCAATATATATATATATATACATATATATTATGGTAATAACCATTAACAGCATATGGCAATTGCATACAGTATAACTAGGTCTATCACACGTTTTTGTTTTACAGTACAGATCGGTTATTATATTATGTGTGTGTATGTATATATGTATATATATACATATATAAATGTGTAAAATATATATATATATATGTATATATTGAAAGCATACTGAAAAAAACAACAATCAGCAATAGCTTGATATCAGTATATATATATATATATATATATATATATATATATATATATAAATACATATATATATACATA